CATTTTTCACAGCCAAATCGAAGATTAATTACCAGTGAATAATTCCATGTGCAAACAATAGCCGTCCGGATCCTATAACATGGCTTGAAAACATCTAAAAATTAATATATATATATATATATATATATATATATTATAGAAATTTAAAAAAAACATTTATAAACACAAAAAGGATCTCGGATATAACATTAGTTGTACACAGAAATAAGTTCAACGACAACTTAGAACTCAAGAATGCAACACTTATTAAAGGAGAAAATAACTTCGATAGAAAGTTCTTGAGACTGCAGCTATTGATTCTTCCCAAAAATGTTAAATTATGGCCTGGATTTTTTTTTTTTTTTCAAATATCTCCTTTCTTAAAAGAAATACTCCTTTCTCAAGCCAACATACATAAGCATAAAAATTTTAAAACATCAAAATATATTAACTCAAGACCTTCTATTATTCAAAATAAATACATGCATAAATAATCCATCAAATTAAAATAAGATAATAAATCATAATTACACAAAAATAAATATAGATAAACAAATAAGAAAATAATATTCAACATTTACTCACTTTGATTTATTAGGCATTAAATTACATCACATAGTATCCTCCATAATTTACCTTTACTTACACAGCTTTAAGAATATTTTCAAATGTTCTTAAATTTAAAAATTTTGCAAACTTAATATTTTTACTTTTGTTTATAAATACTTGTTGCAAAATAAAATCCTTACATTTACCTTGATAAAAACCTCATGGGACAAAACTCATAGGTAAAAGAAAAAAAGTTTTCCTTTTGTCTTATCTATATATATATATATATATATATATATATATATATATATATAGCCTTAGATTCTACATTCAACACTATTATTTGATAAGATACCAGAAGTGTTGAAACAAAATGTCAGTTTTTGTAGTGGTGTTATATACATGTTTGTTATAATTTTTGAATAAATAATATTTGTTCTACTCTGTATTGAGCACTCTTTGAAGAATAGTATTTTTGGTTATTGGAATTTTATTCCGTCTATACCAATCCTATACTTGGGCATATATATTTTAAAATAAGACTGTTGAGAGTTAGATAAAATTTCACGAGGAAGGTACCTAATTAATTAGGTACCTTATGAACTTTTATCATAAGTGTACATAATTCTAAAATTTTATGTACATTTATTACATTTTATGGTATTATTTGTATTTCCACTCATTAATTTTGATATTTAATTAATGGAAACATGTCGTAACTGAGACAATATAAAAATAAGACCATATAAATTTATTAAGATAGGTACATAATACTTTGTAGGTACCCTTATCAGTTGAAATATTATACACTTTTTTTCTCTTTTATTTTTTTTTCCCCCAATTTTTTTAATCTTAAGTTATATGACAGTATTGAAAACAGCGGGGAACAACGTTTATATGCCAATGCAAACCACCTGATGGTTTGTTTTCATTGTGCTTCCAGTCTTCCATAGATTTGAATTACAGCCATTTTATGGACACATAAAATCCATGTTATATTAGATTTTTTATCTAGTTGGGGTCTACTGATTATAACCAGCTTTACAATTTATAATCTGTACCGATAAATCTACTTAATAACACCAACTAAACTGTACACTATTTTGATTAATTTTAGAATATTTAACAACTTTAATGTAAAAATAATTTAAGAAATAACAAATAATTGCTGTAAAAATTTATTTTTTATCAAAAAAGTTTTTTTTGCTTTCAGACAATATTATCCATATTCATAAAAGCAACTAAAAGCTTTTGAAATTAAATAATATCTTTGTTTTATTGAGTTTTGAGCTGATTTTAAGGTGGGGGGGTCCAACTAAAAAAAACAAAACATGATTTCCTTCCTCAAAGCCTTCTGCTTTTAATTAATTAATCACTAAATATTTGCACTTTTGAATTTCTCGAGTTTTCATAAAATTAGTTAAGTGGGGGTGGTTGTAAATATAAAAATGATTTTTTATCATGACTTTTAAAAAAAAATAAACATATTTATAATAATTTCCATCATTTGTGAATAGTTTCTGAAAGTTTCATTAAAATCTGACAGTTATTTTTATTTTTGCAAGATTTTCTAAATTAATGTCTGTCATTAAAAAAATTTTCTGTTATTTACTAGTATATCCATTGATGAAGAGAAACAAGTTTTTTTTTTGTTTTTTTTAATCAAAAGTTAGAATGCTCTAAAAAAGACAGAAAAAACTTTTAAAAAATAATTCAAAATTATTTTGTTCTTTCCTCTTAATAGTAACATAAGCATTTTAATGATAGAATTTTGTTTTCATCAAGTTTAAGGCCATTTTTATTATGCTATGCTCATTTTCCAGCAATCTCATAGTGGTGCTTAAATATATATATATATATATATATATATATATGAAATATAAATAAAGGTGTGCTATATTTATGGATAAAGTGCTCAATATCATAGATAGATATATGTAAATATAAAGATAAATATAAACATATATATAAATATAAAAACACACACACACACACACACACATATATATATATATATATATATATATATATATATATATATATATACTAGCAGTAGAGCCCGGCATTGCCTGGGGGATGTAACAGTAAGAGATAGAACAAGTATCCACCATCATAAAAGACTGAAAAATTAAAATTGACACAGATTATTGTTTAAGGTTGACGGACACGACATGTTAAATTTTTTTTTTTTAATTGGTCAAACTCAAACAAAACATTGTTTTCAATCGTTATGAGTCTACCGATTGAATAGAATTTTATTATAAACAATTGTCTTGTAAATGGAATTTTAAAGCATTCTGAATGTAAAATAATGAAAAAATTGTGCAAGACAATAAAAAACACTACCTGCCAAAAAAGTGAAGTTTTTTATTTGAAATGGGTTGAAAAATGTAGGAAATCCGATCCCATATATAAAACGAACACAGACACACACACACAAACAACCTGTGTTTTATAAAAGTATAACTCGATATGAGTTGTCTCCCTTTCATTCTGGCAACAGAATCGTGTTTTATCGTGTTTTCAAATTGATTTCGTGCAAAAACAATTGTGTTTTTCCAATTTTGCGCTGTCAGAACCACCTAACAAGGTAATTTCGCGGTCCTGTGAAGTTTTGTTGAAATCGGTTGAAAATGTAGGAAATCCATCCAATATATAAAAAAGAACAGACACACACACTTTATGTTTTATAACAAGTAAGATATATATATATATATATATATATATATATATATATATATATATATATATATGGAGAGAGAGAGAGAGATTGGTAAATTTTACACTTTTTTTAAAATTTTCAAATAAATTTATCTTCTTTTTCCTGCAGATGGTGCTTCAAGACTGATCATCAGGTCGGGAACCATCCTCAATCTACTTGCAACAGATTGCAGTGATCTTGTTTTCTTATCAAAATGTGACGACGTGACACATTTATCCTTCCCATACCAAATCAGACCTACCCACATCACAACCACATTGTCAACCCTGAATGCACCAATTCTATTTGCCTCTCAATATTTCTCTTGTCATCTATGTTTTCGTTTCCTTTGTGCCTGCAGTTGTTGCTGTAGATCAATTCATACACCACAATTTCAAAGTCAAGGCTACACTTAATCTGGCAGCATTGGCCATGTCTTCTGGCTTTTGATAATTTTAACAACTGTATCTCTCTTTATTTTTTTATTTTTTTTATTTTTTTTTTCTGTTGCTAGAGTTAACCTACAACACATTAAGCCATCACCCACAGGCACCACACCTAACATAATCAACTTTATTCCAATTACAGATCAAAGAAAATTTGCCTAAAATCAGTCCATCACTAATTTATCCACATGAAACAGTTTGCATTATTTACTATAAAAGAAAAAAAAAAAACTTTGTTCTAATAAGATATGCCCTTTAAAAAATACAGCATTTTTATATTGTTAATCATTTAAATCTTTCTTAGAGCTGCTACTTTGTGGAACAGACTCTTGTGTGGACGCTTCCCAGAGCACTACACTCTTAACCTCTTCAAGTCCAGAGTCAGTTGTTTTCTATCCACTATATCCCTGTAATCTTCACTTCCAACATTCTCCTCTCGTATTTATATAACACACCTCATTCAGTAACCCTCTATCTTGGGTGGCTCTTGGGCCTTGTATTAAGTAAACTTTAGTAAGAAAAAAAAAAAAAAAATTCACTATGTATCCTATGTATGTGTACAAAGGTTAATCAGTCAAGATACTCAGCTTTACTGTCTGTTTTGAGGCTGATGACTACAAAATAGGCATAATTCATTATTTATATGAGGTGTATCACTTGATTAAAAAATCTTATAAATAATTCTAAATTGATTATACTACTGCCGCTTGATATTGAAAGACATAACTGCCGATTGAATTTCACTGTCTGCAACAAATAAGACTGGAAGCAAATATTTATCTTGCAAAAAGTCCTGATACAAGTTATAATTAGTTTTGAACCTGTGAGTAATGAAAGAGAAAAGCTTAGCACTTTATAATTCAATTCACTGTTTTATCTTTTCTTATTGACTTCACTTGTTTTAATAGAAAACCCCAGACTCTTTTTGTACATAGTGATTTTCCAAGCGTAGCTTGGATGTGGCACAAGGCCAAAAGTAAGGGGCACCCAGTGAGGATCGAACTCACTACTCATTTGTAATTAGTTCTAGCGAGACAAGCTTGCTAACAATTACACCACTTCGAGGTGCTCAACTCTTTTTGTATATATTTGGCAGTTCTTTTTTCTTTTTTTTTTTTTTTTAGAAGTTAAAGATAAGCTGCTTGTGTTTTATTTTGGATTAACTATTAAATCCATCTGTGAAACTTTTTTAATTTACACTAAAGCAGAACTATTCATCTCTTAAATTCTATCAATCACAAAAAAAAAGAAAGAAAAAAAAAAGAAATACCAATCACTTAATCTTGCTCTTTTTCATGATGTACCCAAGCCAGTTAGGGTACACCATGAGTCAGAAGTTTTCCTGCGAGCACTGCCCCCAAACATTTGCCCTCCACGATTTGCTTAAGGCCCACATCCGTTCCACTCATGCTGCCTCAGCCTTTTTGCAACAGCAGCGGAACTTTCGTTGTGCTGTGTGCGACAAAGGCTTCACGCAGCGGACAAACCTACGTACGCACGAGCGTGTGCACTCTGGCGAACGTCCCTACAAATGCACAATGTGCACAAAGGCGTTCTACCAACGTACCAACCTGCGCAACCATATACGCACACACACCAACGAGCGTCCATATGTTTGTACAGAGTGTGGACGTGCTTTTACACAACGGGGCAACCTCTACCTGCACGAACGGATTCACTCTGGGGTGCGTCCATTTGAATGTAACGTGTGTCACCGCACGTTTACGCAGAAAGGCAACCTGAAAAGTCACTCGAAGACCCATGAAAAGAAGAAAGAGATTCGAGATGGAGATCTACCAGTGGCCCTGGAACCATCCCCAAGTGCACCGCCGTCTGATAACCACAGCAGTGTATCATTCTCTTGCAATGAATGCCAAAAGGTTTTCCATCGTCGGTCCTTGCTGAAATGCCATGAGAAAACACATCAGATACAGCGAGCAAATGCTACAAGCGATGCTGATGTTCTCTTGGAAACGGTAGCAGCAGCAGTAGAGGCTACCAAAAGCCGAAAAGTTCCTGTCATTGAAAAGAAAGTGTCAGTTATTGAATCTGGAGCTACCCAGATGCCTGTGTCTGTGCCACATCAACCGAGTAGCCATGTCTTTCCTGACCGTTCCTCATCCTGAAAAATTAGTTACATTTCTTTAAAAAAAAAAAAAATAAATAAATAAAAAATAATAATAATGATCATTTAAGAGACAAAAGGAAATTTTTTTTTTTTCTTTTCTACAGATATTGGAATGAAACAGTTCATTTATCAAAAAAACATTGATCTTCACTCATGGTGCAAAACATAAGAGTCACTTTCAAAAATTGTTTTTTTTTTTTTTTCTGTTGTCACAAAAGACAAAACCAGGTAAATGAGGCTGCAGTTAAACAACTCATTTGTTTACTACACAATCCTTCATGCAAAATTTTCTTTTATTTTTTTCTTTTTAAACGTTTTTTAAGCTTAAAAAAAAAATCAAGACACTTTTGAACAAATATAGAGGCATATGGTAACTAATCGGTTAAAACTCTACACCGATAAACCTAAGCACGGAATTCAACCAAAAAAGAAATTATAAACATTAATATTTTTACATATCTGCAGAGGAACTGGTGGTCATCATATACTTGTAAAATCTGAAAGGGATCATAACACTTGCAATAAACAGAACTGTCCGTAAGGATACATATTCATTTCCAGTATCACTGGCCATCAACATTTTGAGGGACATTGATTCATTAAATTGAAAACAGAACCACTTTCAACCTGTTTTTAATAAGAATAATGTTAATGGTAGTGTTCAATAGAATATATTTACTCCAACTATAACCAAGAATTGTATATATAACAAAGATTGTATTTTGAGCAAAAAAATCCAAATAGCAGTCAACCAGTAAATTTCTGGAGGAGAATGCTTTTTAGGCAAGCAGTCTTTGTAATTAAAGAGCTCATTATTATGAAGCAGAGCATTGATAGTAAATAAAATAAAAAGTTTTAAAAAGTGACCATGATGGGCAGATAACATCTGGGAAACTTGAAGTCAGGAGATAATTTTTTTAACTTTTTATTTGCCTCATATATATATACATATACATACATACATACATACATATATATATATATGTGTGTGTGTGAAACTTCTTCAGACAATAGTTTTATCAATGGAGTTAGTTCAGCCTCTACTCAGTTTCACCCACATTTAGTACACAATTCTGAGAATTATGTACTTGGAGACATCTTTTGTACAAATAATATTAGCACTGCTATAAAGGGTTGAGCATTTTTTGTCTCCCCAATGTTTATTTTTTATCTCTTAGTGGATGCTTTTACTTGATAATTAAGAAATATATGTGAAAATATATAGAAAATAGGAAGGAACTGGTTAGGTAAATAATCCAAAGTCCCTTAGTATTTTAGTTATTATTTTTAAAAATAGTTACTCGATAAAAGTAGAGCATAAATGTATTATTATTTGATTTAAAAATATAAGATTCCAAATTTAATTACATAAGAGGTCTCATGTTTCAAAACTTCAAAAAAATTTCATTTAAGATGGAATAGAGCTTATTTTAACTCAATTTAATTTAAATAATTATAAAAAGTTTTCGGCTTTGTTTTGAAAAATGAGACTTCTTATGTAGCATTTTTTGAATCATATTTAACAAATAATTTATATATATATATATATATATATATATATATATATAATTAAAAAAAATTATAACATAAGTATGTTATAAAAATCACTACAAAATAGCCATTTTGTTTCAACACACTCTGTGTCTTATCATGATGATGTTGAAAATAAAATAAATGGTTTTAAAAGTTTCAGATTAATTAACTATCCTACACTAGGGGGAAACATTGTTACAAAAGCTAGAATAACCAATCAAAAAACGAAGTATAGAAAGATTCAAAAGCTTGACAACAAAATCCTGCTATAATAGCTATTCAGATCTTTAAATACGTGTAATATTAAAAATAATTTATACTAACTAATAATTATAAAATTATATGATAAAATTTAATATTAAAAAATTAAAACTGGCAATTTTTAAAATCCAAATTTAATCACTATTAAGTTTAAAACTACAAAATTATTGAAAAAAAAAAATATATATATATATATATATATATAAATTACATAAAAATGAAACTCAATTGTACCCTATTTTTATGGGCATTTTGCTTCTCAGGATGAATTCTCTGGAGCTTGTTGACACTAAAACATTTGATAAAAAAAATGAATCATGACGGTTTTTTTTGTTTGTTTTTTTTTATTTTTTTAAATTTAAAATTGAAAAAGGATAGAAAAAAAAATGAAGAGGAAAACAGGAAAAAAACAACGAATTTAACTTCTAAAGATTTTAACTTCTGTCTAGACTTGTATATGTTCTGTCTTCCTGTTTTCCCTCTTTCTCTCTCTACTTGGCTGTTTCTTTTTCTTTTTTTTCTGTTTCTCTCTTAAATGCCTTTTACCTTATTGGTTGTTTGTTCCTCTGTTTTCCTTTGTTTTGTTTTTTAATTTAAAAAAAACAAAAAAAAAAAACATTATGATTCATATTTTTTCATCAAACATTTTAGAGTTGACAATCTCCAGGGAATTTATCCCGAGTAGTGAAATAGCCATAAAAATGGGGTTTCATTTTTATATAATTCATTTCTATGCTCTATAATAAATATATTGAGTTCTCTTTTGTGGATCAATTTTAATATTTTATTTTAATAGGATTCACTTGGATTATTTACCCACTGGTTTTACGTGTGTGTGTATATCAAATGCCAGTTAGTTTTACATCGAAAAAGCAGAAGATACAAGGATGTTTCACTTTAGATGTATTTTTTAAATTTCTAATACTTTTGTTTTCATTTCTGTTGGCGTTGCTTTAAAGCATCCCACATTGGATCAACATTAGGTTTTTTTGGTTTTTTTCAGGAAATCAATAGAAAACTGAATTGTTATCTAGTTTCTGCATCCAGAAATAACAAACATTAAAAAGGAAGTGCCTCTGCATTTTTAACATGTCTGATGTAAAATTGTCACTAGCAACTGTTAAGGTTGAAAATGAACATTGGGAAGACAAAAAGTGGCTTTATAGCAGAGTATTTAAAGCCACCACAAGCAGCAGACCCCTGAGGACTGTGTACTGAATGTCCACATGAAACTGACTAGAAGCTGGATGTTGGAGACACATATATATATATATATATATATATATAACCAAGTAATCAGTAAAGAACAACCAAATACCAAGTTTGACTGCCAAAAAAAAAAAAAACATGAAAAGAGAAAAAGACAGCCATATACCTAAAGTACTCAATGTCTATAGAAATGAAATTAAGACAGAGCAGTAACAAACCCCTAAAAGTACTCAGGGTCACTGATCTAAACAGTAACTGTTTCATTTCATGCTGTGGCGATCAATGACGATTGTCATTGCCTGATGCTCAGTTATAATTTGAACTGGAGGCCCTGAATGTTATTTGGGGCTTCGTTACTGTTTTCATACATATACATATATATATATATATATATATATATATATATATATTCCATAGTATGATAAACGTCCTTTTATTAGTTACATGTGTTGAGTTACAAACTTTGTTTCTTATTTTCTTAAATGGTAAAATTAATAACAACTGGCCTAGATCAACTACTAAAGAAAAATCGAACATATATCCCAGGGAAACTGCTTCTGTAGCTCAAATGTGCTGCTACCATTTTGACTATGGGAGGCCAACTAGATAGAACATGGTTTGCATTACCTATTTAAGGAATGCACATCTTTTGTTGACTTTTATAAATCTATATCTGCTAGTTTCAGCTTCATAACCAAAACAAACAAGTCATTTTTAATGGGTACACATGTTTTTAGTTCTTAAACAGTGAAATTAATAACACACACACACACATATATATATATATATATATATATATATATATATCACTGATAGCATTTTCACACACCCCAGTAGTCATAATATTCAAACCAGTGGCTCTGACTTGTGACAGTTCAAATCTTATATCTTTACTTTCCTGCCACAAATGCAAAAAGGGGAATTATGTTGGAGAAACAGGTACGGAATTCCATCTTCTGTTCAATAACCATAAAAAAAAATCCACCAAAAACAACAACAATTTGGCTGTCACTACACACTTCAACCAACCATTCCATAGCATTAATGACATCAGGTGCATGCTTTTAGCGTCTTCATTTAATAGCTGACAAGAAAGACACAGATTGGAGTTCGAATACATTTTCAAAGTAGAAGCACATATAAAAGAATTAAACTGGGAATTGGGTTTACTCAGTGAATATAATTTCCACAGGGAGCAGCCTAACCAACATTCCCGGAAGAGCGAATCCCACCTTCTCTGTTTATTTCTCGACTTTAAAATCATTCTCTTCATACTTTAATTTAGTTAAAAGACCTACTAATATATAATTAATATCATCAGT